AGTGTTTTATTACTATTTTGGCATTTGTTGTGTATATAAATTGTGAGCAACAAAAACCGAGCCTATTTCTGTAGGGCTATGGGCCTGATGTGTGTTTTATGTGAATAAGCAACATAAATGAAAGGAAGGGCAACATATAAAAGGGAAAACGAGAGCTGACAAAGTGTTGGTGGGCTGTGTGGTAATCAATGAGCTATGCTGTGCCGCTGACATTTTTATCTCAGATGTGCAACAGAAGCTGCCTCCTAGTGCTGTTTCTGCTGTACACAGGAGCAGCAGAGCATTGTGTCCGTTTCAGTGTTTCTCACTCATTTATGTGCCTACTGTAGCAGCCTCCACTGTTAGAGTATTTATAGCCGATATCACAGGCTGTTCATTAAGGTGCTCAGTGTTTAGAGTGAGTTGCTATTACTGCTGTGTCCAGCTACTAATCTTACCACTGAGGCCTATGTTCTTTCTTGAAAGATGGGTCTGATTGACACCAGTTCCAATAAGGTGGATTTGCCTCTATGCACTTTTCTCAAGCTTGAGGGAATACACTTTTAAGTGGAGCTCTGTCGCAGTCAATATTAGCATAGTGGACCTTTTTGAAGCTCCTTTGCTGAATGTATATTTGTAGTCATGCATACAAACATACACAAACACTCATTTTCTTCTCTCTACAGCCGTTACGCTGTCACCTCTCTGAATATTGAAATTCTTATGAGCCCTCCTGCAGAATTTCAGTTCGTTGATAAGAAAATCCATCACCTAGCCTATCACTTTAGGCCACCACAGCGTGTCTGGCACAAAACAAATTTCAGGCACATTTCTCAGCGAGGGTGGTGCATAATTTTATCCTCACTAGTTTGATGAAAGTGAAAAAGAAAACTTTCCCTCATTTCAAATCAGTTTGTAACATTGGAAAGTTGCCTAAACACTTATATGCACATACACAGCAGTGTTAAATGACATTAGGTTGCAGCCCAGAGAGAGCTCGCTACATTTCTCTTTCGGCACCACTGGTCTGAAGCCAATCCCCTCTGGCCAATATTGACAACTGTGGCTGGAGGTGGCTAGAGATCAAGACAGCCACCATAGAAGGGACCAGGACAAAACACAGCACAATATGGGTTGAAGGAGAAATACTGTGACACTGCTTCCAGTCACCTTTCAGCAACTATTCCGACTGAGAACATCAGCGACTTCCCAAGTGGGGTCTATCAAAATTCTACTATACTCTTAACTCTAAGTAGAGAAAATAGGCTAGGTGAAGGATTATTAAAGACGTAAAAATCAAAAATGAATCACAGATGTGGTGGGTAGGCTGAAGAAATGGTGAAAAACCAGAATGCAACTTAGCTGATGCCTTTTTGATGCTGTTCAGACTGACGGAACGCTTTTGATAAGCAATCTTAATGTCAGTTGCACTCAAGCTCAGCCAATGTGCAGACTCCCACATCCGTCTGTCTCACACAACTGCACACTCTTATCAGTTCAAAGTTGCTCAAATTACCAGCATGAAATACTTGACATTCACATCAGATGAACCCAATTTAGACAAACCTGAGATCATAAAAAATTTTAAAAGAAGTCAGAAACCAAGTTCTTCTTGTCGGTATATGGGATTTCAACCGTGAGCAAACAACGGAATATTTTCCCTGCGATATGGTAATTATCATGATTAAAGAAGGTTCTATCTGGGTTCCCACAGTGATAAGACTCTCAAAGAACAATTTAAACATCTGTGAGTCATTGAGAAATTTGTCACCAAACCTTTATACTGTACCCCATGTTGCTGCTATCTAGTGTTACATGTTGTGAAAACTGATAATGAACACGAGTTGTACTCAACATCTGGATTCCCAGCTGACAAGACAGTGCCATGCCTTCTGCAGGGTCTTAACGGATTTCAGAGTAAGGATGAAAAGCATTAACAATGTGAAATGTGCGGTTCACTTAAGGATGGCTTTGAAGCTCAGGTCTTGCAATAAAATAAAGAACAAAGAAAACAGACAAGCACAGTTTTTAGTATATGTAAAAAAATACATTTCAAAGGCTACTTTCTCTGGAGTTTGCAATGCACTTTGTCATCTGTCCCTTCACTGTTTTCTGCTTTCACTATTTGAGATCATATTGAAGTAGTCTTTTTGGATACAGTAAAAGGATATTATTAATTGCTGCTTGAAGTGCCTTAGATTTTGTGTTACTTATTTATCTACTTTCTATTTCATTTGTATTTTGTGGCACTCATGTGGACAGCAAAGTAAGAACTTCATTTTACAGGGAAACACATTTCCTAACTGTGCATATGACAAACACTTTGACCTAGACCTAATAATTTGGTGGTAAATAACAGATTCCAAAGTCATTCAAGTGAACTTCCTGTTCTGTTAGATCTGTTCCTTTTCCTTGATTCATATGTTACTTAACACATTAGGTTTAGAGTGCAGCTTTCTTACTGATGTCAACAGTGCTGTCTTGTTTTTTCGTTTTTGTACCTGCTCTACTTAACGTACATGCACCTGAACAGTTCTGAAGACTTCAGTGGCTCTTCAAGTTCACAGCATGTAGATTTGGATTTGGCCAGAGGGAACACTCTGGGCACGTCTTCATCTTTACAATATTCTTCCATGTTGATACATATTTTAGAGATCACAGCAAGAACTAAGCAAGTGCTGTATACTCTATGAATATATTATAAACTTGTGTTAATCTTGCATTCATTCATTTAATTTGTAAGTTGTTTGGACTTGTTTTTATTGTTATCATGTGCGGACTCGGCATCTGACTTCATCCAAATAAATATCACTTCCCTTTAGAGCTGAAAAAGGTTCCCACAGATCCTTAAGTCTTTAAATGTATTAAATTTAACATAATTTAAGGTCATAAAATGTCTTAACTCTTATTTTTGCCCATGAGTTATCAAACTTTGAAACGATGCTTTCACTAACTGAGACATGACTGAATACTTTATCAAATCTACCTATATTACTATATCTGGTTAGCATTATAATTTTTTATTACTAATTTTTGTGGATATGCGTGCTACGTCTTGCATTCACGTGACTTAGCCTGTATGTCCACTGTCTCCCACATTTTCTGCAAACAGAAAGAGAAGAAGAAGCAAGTAAGATGGGGAGATGCAAATTAAGGAAATCTGTCTAAGATGAAAAGTAGGCTCCCAGGAATGGTTAGCTGTTGAATGAAAAATGGCTACACTTACACCTGTGTTAATGTGCACGTGTTTTTGTGTTTCAGTCTTAGAAAGTCTTAAATTAGATTTTTAAAAGTATGCAGCAACCCTGCTGAAAAATGATTTGATTGATCATCAAGGCCACAATTGATTTAATCATTTTTCAATGAAACATCCCAACAATTCACAGGTTCTAACTTCTCTTATGTGAAGATTTTGTGTTTTCTTTCTGTCTTACATTGTTGTAATCTGGATGTATTTGGTTTTTCGGCTGTTGGTCAGGCAAAAATATGCCATTTGAATGTCTCATTACACTCTGTTGTAGCCCTGGTTCTCGTCCTTATTAGCAGTTTTGCCATCAGGGTATTTTATTAATTGAACACAATGCATAATCCTTTTATTTCCCACACGGCTATGTGAAGGCACAGACAAGATGGAGATTAAACAGCTAAAGTAAGAAGCATGAGGTAGCAACTTCTGGCACTGCCCAGTGATGAGTCTAAAGGACAGTATGACTCTAATGCAGGCTCAGAGCTTACAGGCAGGGTGACTAATGACCCACAGTGCTCTCAGTTATTATCAGACACACACACACACACCCTGTATGATTCATTCTGGTCCCTACTTTGGAGAGGCATGACTCAGTCACACTCATGTGCTGCTACACCAACATTTCTACACAGTACAAAGTCCAGTGTTGATTTGACTCTCACAAAGTTGATTTTAACTCTATTTCAGAGTTTATATAGCTCCACACTTTCTAGAGTTAAATTAACACTTTCAAAATAGTTAAATATTTAACACTTTTTCAGAGTTACCTTTTTTAACTCATAAAAGTGTTAAGGAAACACCAAGAGGGATTAAAATTAAATACGGCAGAGTTACATTTGGGAGTGGTAGTGTCACTCTGTTCAGTGTTAACCTATGTACTTTAAAATTTGTTAAATAAAATCCACACACAAATTAATTTCCATAACAACAACATTTATTTGTTTTCTTTCCCAATTCCAAGTCAATTGTGTAATTCAATTAAATTACAAAGCAAAGTACAATATACAAACCATCTGCAACACTATAAGAACTTTGAATGCCAAACGGCTTATAAAATTTAAGCTTAGACATTTTAACAATACACCTTTCCTCAGTACTCTAAATGCATGATGATGTTCATCAAAAATCTCTGTGAATAGCTTGTTTCCTAATAGATAAATCAGATTTTCAACCAAAAGTACATCACTTATTTCACAAAAAACTGGCAAATCATCTTCCACTGCAGTGCAAATTACAAGTCCAGCTCTATATTCTACACCATCAACTTTAACCCAACTTGTTGAGAAAACATCATTTG